TACAATTTATAATGCTGATCAGTTTTTTGCAGACTATGAATTTTATTTCTTCACTCCTTAATCCTGCATGCTACACTGTTCTGCGTTGATTGAAGATCCCTTTCAGAGTGGATAAGTCCCACTGAAATCAGCAAAGCATTTCATCGTCATGGAGATCCACATTGCTCTACTCTAGGGTTGAGCGCTTAGCACATCTTGTAAGGTGGGAACCTGCTATAACATTCACAACGCTCCATGTGTGCTTTTAATTTGAAGTCTAGATACCGAAGTGACAACAGGAAATGCTAAGTGGTTACTGGGGTAACGGCAGCTGGAAATCAGAGCACACGCTAATTTCGTAGCAGCAAATGACTTTAGTTTAACACTGAGCTTGAATAGATACATACTTTGAAATGTTGATAAATAAGACAAACATGTCACAGATAAAATGTTCGCCATGTTTATGCTGATTAAAAACGTTTTTGACTGCCCTGATCCTTGTCCTGTTGAAGGCTTGGTTCACTGCAACATAGTGTTTTAATTATTTAATTTAGAATACAAAAAAGATCTCCTTATTAAGCTCCGCCTACAGTGTCAACAAAAGTTTTGGAAGGAAGAGGCTCCGAAGCATCCGATGCAGGACCAGCAGATACCAGAACAGCTTCTTACCCAGTGATATTAGACTGCTGAATGTTGTATAAAATGGAGATTTAAAAAACAACTGTAAAATGGAAACTGTAAATCATTTACCAGTCTAATGTTTACATTTTGCACTGCTGCACTATAGAAATGGAAATGTCTTGAGAGCTGCACTGAACGAAATCTAGTTTTATATAAACTGTATGTACAAAATGACAATAAAGTCTGCCTAAGTCTAAGGTTCATCCAAAGATAGATTAAGAATTGTCCGGTTTTACTTTTTAATAAAGGAGCTATTAGCTATATGCTAATTTGTGTTAGTGATTTGGACCTGAGCTGTCTCTATAGTTATGCTGCTTTAGGCTTAGACTTCTGGAGGACTTATTTTATCATTTTGCTTCATTCTATCTCTATTCTCCCACTATGCAGCATCTGTTTGTTCAATCTCTTACGTTGGTCTCTCTTCTTTTCTCACCGCTCACAATGAGTCTGGTTCTGCTGGAGGTTTCTTCCTGTTAAAAGGGATTTTTTTCCTCTCCACTGTCGCTACAAGCATGCTTATTGTGAGGGACTGTATTTAAGTCAATGAGTCGATGCAATCAACTGGTTTTCCTTGGATAGAAAACTTTGAATCAATTTGACTGAATGATCTGGTGAACTGTAAAGTGCCTTGAGATGACATGTGTTGTGAATTTGCAATAAATAAATAAACTGAATTGAATTGAAAATGGAATTGTACATAGCTTTAGGTATGTTTGTTTTTTTGTTCAAATTAGTTTTCTTTTGGACACAAGCTTCCCTGAACCTAACATGACATTTGGAGGTTCAAGCTAATACACAATAGGGAGGTAAATATCGTCACCGGAGGAACCGTTTTCATGTTTTATGTTAAAAGCAAAAATGGACTGGAAAAAAGGATTCTGCCTGGAACTGCATCATTTGATTGTTTTATTATTATTAATTATAGTCTTAAAATACCAGAATTTGCCTATAACTTTACAGTTTGATCTGTCTTTATTACAGTATTTTAGATTTCAGATGATATGATGAGTTACTCAGTAGTTGAGCCGCCTTTTTTTTTTGCCAAATACTTTTTAACTCTTACAAGAATAAAAACATGATGAAGTATTTTTATTCTTGCTTGAAGGCATTTTTTTTTATTCTCACCATACTGATCTTGATCCTACAGGAATGTCTTAAAGGAGCAGAACAGATTGGACCAACATCCTTCACAGTTTTAAAAATCACTGTTCGTTAACTCTGCATTTTGAATTTTCTCAGGTTTTCTCCATCTAATATAAGATATTTTTGGATAATGTAAAACATTTAAATGTGACAAGACATAAAAACAGAAGAAAACAGCTTTCTACACTCACCAGGCCACTTTATTAGGTACCCCATGCTAGTAACGGGTTGGACCCCCTTTTGCCTTC